TTTTTGTTTTTTATAAATATATAGGTGGCATTATTCTTTATACTTTTGTAAATAACATTTTAATGAAAAAATTTTGTAAAAATATAGATTTGAAGGATTATTTCTCCAAAAAAAAATTTTGAAGTGTGAGATTTCTTTAAAAAGAAAAATTTTGAAATGTGAGATTAAAAAAGAAATGGTTAATGCACAAATTATCATCATTTTACAATAAAATTTATATGATTTACATGATTTAATGTGATTATATATAGAGAAAATTTTATTTATAATAACTAATGATATCATTCTAATAATTTGTGTGATAGTGATTATACTTATTATTGTGATTATTCCTTAGATTGTAGGATTTTGCAAGCAAATTTGCCTGCTTATTTACTATAAATTATCTTCTGATTTACTTATAAATAATTAATATTTTTAAGAAATTTTTTTTTAAAATTAATTAAATAAACATGTAATATATTATAATATGTTTTATCTTTTAATTATATAATAAAAAATTTAATATTACTTAAAAGTCAAATATTTGATATTTTTAAAAAAAAATTATTTTAAAAAATTTTATTATTAATCTATAATAAACTTTTTAGAATTTAATTTTAACTATAGAATATTATAAAATTACTTACTTATAAAGAAAAACTTAAATTATTATAATTTTTATAATTTATTAAAAAATTTTATGACTTAATTAATGATAAAGTAATTCAATTAGTATGTAAACATATAAATTTTTAAAAAATTATTATAAAAAATTTTTTGAACTTAATTTTTAAATTAAATTATTTTAAAAACCTTTTTAAAAACTTAAAATTTTTATTAAAAATGTAATAAAATATATATTAAACTATATTTTTTTTATAGCAATAATATTATTAAAATTAATATTTTTAACATTTTATAAAGAAATTAACACATTTTTTAATTTTACAGGCAAATTTTCCTGCTATATAATCTAAGGGATAAAGGAGGTATTTTATTATTTAAAAAATTGTGATCAACTACTATGTGATTAAATAGAAGGAAGTGACTATGTGTAAAGTGATTATAGAAGAACTAACTGTAAATAATAAATTCTTTGATAATATATTTGAATTAGAAGAAGATTTACTTTTTTATATGATAATAATGTAATAAATAAAGCATTTACTTTTGTATTAAACAGTTAAAATAGTATAAATAGTAGTAATACAGAAGAATCTTTAGAACAAGATTCTGATATATTTATAGAAATTATAAAATTTGAAATAGATATAAATATAAATCTAACAAAAACAAAAAATTTATCCTATTTATAATAGTAGATTTGATAGATGAAAGATTACAATGTTGTAAAATTTCAGAGTATTCTTATAAATTATGGCAATTAGTTGGAATATAGCAACTAGATAAGCAATTAGTTAAAGTAGTAGGTAAGGATTTAAAAAAACTTGGAGTTTGTTATAATTATTTATATTTAATCAAAATAAGTTATATTTATTTGATATTAAAATCAAAAAGTTTATCTGAAAGTATTGTTCATAATCACAGATACAAATTTTATGAAATTAATTATTATTTTTTCAATAGAAGTAAGTTTTGTATTAAGCATTCTTAAAATCTTATAAGAAAAAATATACAAATTTTATATATTAGACAAAAAAATTATAATGTATTACAAGAATTTGATTTGATCCAATAATTTCTCTATTATAATCAAATAATATTTAAAATATATTTGTTGTAATTGTTATAAAAAATGGTAAACATATATTTATTAGATTTGGATAAGAAAATAAAGCAATAGATTGTAAATCTAATAATTAATATAAAAAGATCTAGCTACATTATTAGAACTTATGAATAAATGGATATCTATGATTACTAAATCTGATAATATTTAAATGCAAGAAAAAGGTTTAAATTAGTTATACTAGCTTTACAAATCTATGATTACAATAAGAATTATTAATATTTATATTACATCATATTGATTTTAAAAAATATATATTAATTACAAAATATTTTAAATCATTAAATTCACTTTATAAATACCAAAATACTCTTTAACCTTTAATGTTTTATTTTTTTAAAGGATTAATACAAACATTATTAGAACAAAAATAAAAAAGATTAATAAAAAAAAAATAAACAAATAAAGCAAATAAAACAAATTAATTAACAAAAAAATTCAAAGAATTACAGTTTTCTTAACTTTAGTAATCCTTTTAATTTCTCAAAACAAAATCAAACTTTAACTTTTAAATATATTATCTAGTTTATGTTGTAAACCTCATTTATTAATATCATTTTTATAAAGTATTTCAATTAATTCATATTATATCTCATATAATAAAACATGAAAAAACAATTAGAAAAAAAAAATGTTAAAAGTAAACTCTCTTTTAAAAATTAAAAAACAAAATAATATTTGAAATCGATATATAATAATAATATGAATTTTAAGGAAAAATCATTTACTTTTAAAAATATTTATAATGATTTCACATATAACTCTAAGATTATTATTTAGTTTGAATTACTAATATTATTAAATTCAATTAATGAAAACATAATTAATCTAAATAAAGAAACTTATTTATTTAGTTTAAATCAATTTACTAAAGAAATACTAATTAGACTTAAAACAATATTTGAATAATTATTATGTTTTAATCAAAATAATTAATTAATTGAATATTTATAAAATTTTGATTATAATATTATTAATACAAAAATTATTAAATAAATTGATATTATTTTTTAATGCTTATCTTCTAAAGTTATTATTCTTGAACTAGAGGAAATCCAAATAAAGATAATGAGATTTTTACTACTTGTAATAAATATTTTGAAGACTTAAATTTAAATAATAATTATATTTGGCATGGTAATTATTTTAATTAAATATATACATAATACGTAATTAGATAATTAATTACCATTCTTTTTAAAAAAAACATAATTGTGAAATTAATTATGGGGTAGTAATTATTACAGAAGTGGTAATTAATACTTATAGATATAATTAATTATATAGATAGTAATTAATTTTAGAAAATGTAATTAATAATAGGCTAGTAATTAATACTTGTAGACGTAATTAATTATAGGTGACTTAATTAATTATGAGGAATATAAAATTTTTAATATATGTGTATAAAAAGAATTTCATAGTATTGTTAATGTTATTTTTAGCTTTATATAACCTAAAGGTGTGATCTGAATGAATCCGATCTATCTGATCAACCATCTGATTAAAAATTAGGATTAAAAAAATTGATCCTCAGATATTCACGGTTGATTCGTGGATTGATCAGATTGATCAGATATCTATTTTATTATACTGGTCAAAATCTAAAAAATCAGATGTGATAAATCATCCATTAATCGTCTGTTAATCAGACATAATCATCAATGAACAAAAATCAACCTATCTGATTTATTGACGATTTGTATATTTATAAAATCAGAAAGCAATTTTAATTTATTTTATGTTGAAAATAACAATTCAGAAGGATTTTTTAGACTAATAAAACTTTCAAAAATTATGTAAAAAATGATAATTCAGAAAGCAATTTTAATAGATTATTTTATGTCGAAAATAACAATTCAAAAGAAAATAAGATGTCATAATTTCATAATTGGTATTTTTATTAATCGGATTGATGGCTAAATATTCTTTTACATTTCACCAAGTTAAAATCATATAGTTCATTAGTACAAAGCGTCCTAAAATATGATGTACTGGTATTATACAATCACGACTTTCAGGGTAAAAATCAGTATTCAATAATTCCACATTATATGTTTCTTTAACGTTAAAATAATATCGAATATTTGGAAAACCTGCAGGTTGATACTAGTGAATATATACTAGAAAATGTTCAGTCAGTTCATACGGTAAATCGACTGTATGAGTAAAATAGTATTAAACTTGACCTAAATAAAAATTAATAATATCATCATTTGTAATAAATTTGGCTATAATGTATGAATTTTCTCATGTCATAAGGATATTGTTGAACTGAAGATTTCAGAACCGATTCAACATCTTTCAAACTGATTCATTTTGAATTGAATTATTATAGCATTTTCTGAATCATCACTGAATGGTTTCTGAAATTTGAGAGTTTCATAATTTGCTAAATAGTATTTAACAATTAAATCTAGCATTTTATTTGAAATGATTATATTATCAGATGATGGCTTAAGAAATTTTCCTGAAATAATTTTACTACAAAAAATATGTGATTCTTTAATATTTCAGAAATTCATCCAAAATCGGTATATTTTATCTGATGAAAATTGTTCAGTAACTGAAAGAGAGCCAATAGAAGGCTAATCGTCCAAAAAATCAAGCCCTTTCATCTCAATACCAGAATTTATGATATTATTAATTTGACTATTGAACATCAATCAACGCATAAATTCAGGTTCAATTTTTCTATTGCTATTCAGTAAAGAGCCTAAGAATTATAAATTTAAAAATTAAATAAATATATTCAATCAGAAAATTTTCATAATGATAAATTACTTTACAGAAAGTTATGATTTTATTAAATATGTTAAAAATATTATTAATATATATTAGTAATATATTTAACATATAATTAAAATATTTAATTGATTTAATATGATTATAATATTATTAAAATATATTTATAATATTGTTAACATATACTAAATTCTATATTGACTTATAAATATTAATTAAAATCTTATTATAATATATTTATAATCTTACTATTAGATTATTATAATATTTGTTTTTATATATAATTTTAAAAATATTATTATAATAATATATTTATAATAGGATGACACAGAAAACTGTAATGCATGTGATACAGAAATGTTTCTATTATGTCACAGTATTGTCATGTAAAATGATTAGTATATTGTTATAGTAACATGAAAAGTTTTCGTAATATGAAATCTTAAATTTAATTGGTTAAAATATTATACTTATAAAAATTTTATTAAAATATTGCTAGTAATAAACATTATTCAAATATTAACTAACAAGTTAATAATTCTTGAACTGGTAATAACTTTATCACTCCAAGTTTTGTTGGAATTGCTAAATCAATAGTATACTCATCACAACTCTTAACTGCAATTTGTGTATTTGTTTGGTTTGATTGAGCAATTATAACAGCTTTAACAACCTGACATACAAAAGTACTAAGTTTTTCTGTAATTACAGGATTTTTTCTTAAAATTTGTTAATCAGTTGCCTTTAGATGCAAATGAAGTAATTGCTGCCATACATCCTTATTAATAAATTCATTTAATTCATCATCAGATATTTCTTCTTTCCTATATTTATAATTATTTAAATATTATTTATATATTTGTTAAATTTTAATAAATCACAATGCTTACCATTCATGTATTGATTTGAACTCATTAGCAAGTTTTACAACACTTGCATGGAGTTTATAGCGGTATGTATCATACCATCCACTAACATCTTTAAGCAATGATCCTATTTGAGGGTTTGCTTTAGTAATCTTGCATACATTTACAATTAATTCCTCATATAATGCTGTTATATTGTTTCTTGTTCGAAGAAAAAGAGCCTTACACTCCTCCTGTAATTGAAATTTAATATGCTAAATCCAAAATATTTAGTTAGTATAAATTTTACATAATAAAACTTTTATTACTATATATTATATTACCTGACTAATTTCTGACAAGTTAGATATTGGATATGATGTAGAAATGAGAATTTGAAGTGTTTCAGATTCTTCTCCATTTACTGGCACACTAACCGCCATTGAATTTTAAATATCTATTGCCAAATTCAAAATTCTTTGATGATGAGCCACCCACAGGGTGATTTCAAATTCGTTAGACATCTTTTGAAATTGCGTTGAATATTTTGGTTGTAAGTTATGTTTTCAGAAGTCACTCTCATCATCTATTAAAATTAAAATTATTATTTATCATCATTCACAGTCTCAATTCGTGTGATGTAGTAAGATCAGTACATGAAATAATAAATACCCAGTTTTCTTTCTTCCCGATTATTCTCTTCAATTTCATTTTTATTATATAAATTGTTAACAGTGTCATAAGCATTATTTTCCAAAGTTTTCAGAACATCTAAAGATACAAAATGACAATCATTAGTTTTAATTCGTAATCAACAATAATATACTCATTCTACTCACTACTTGAATCCAATTCACTTTCATACTATTACTATCAATAATTATTTACCTAACTTGTGTTTTCTTTGGTTGAAGTGTAGGATTTAAATCCTTAGTTTTTTTTATAATTGTTTTCTGGTTTTTATTTTGAATATTATTCCTTGGGGTTTTCATTGTTGTGTTGGTAGAAATATCCAAATTATTAATTGCTTTGTTTTGAGCAATATCTATACTAACTATAATATCAGTCTTATTCGTAAAAGATCATGTCTAATAGGATTCCGCAATTCGATTTAATATTTGAATATTTGATTTGATTTGATCAAATTCAAATCAAAGAATGATTTATTTGACCAAATCTAAATCAATGTTTGATTCGATTCGATCAAATTCAAATCAAGTATTCAAATATTTGATTTGATTGAAATCAATAGTAAAGCTATCTCCAAAGCTTCAGAAGTGATTCTTACTAAAAAACCATAGTAAAAAGTGCCTCTGCAGCTTCAGAAATGCCTTTTTTACTATGAAAAACATAGTAAAAAGCGCCTCTGCAGCTTCGAAAATGCTTTTTTCTATGAAAAACATAGTTAAAAGTGCCTCCGCGACTTCGGAGATGCTATTTTACTAAGAAAACTAGTAAAAAACGCCTCTGTGGCTTCGGAAACGTTTTTTTAATAATAAAATGATTA